TGCTCTGGTAATCTTTTCTGATCCCCAGAATGATAGCAATTTTTCTTCTCCATTCAGGTTCCTGAATGGAGCACTTGCCTACCACAACATTATCCACTTGGTGAAATACATAACATCTACTGTCACTCCTCTCTTTTTCTGTGTAGGTGGTTCATGAGAGGACAGAAGTAGTTGGTTATTTACCTTTAACTCTCACAACTTAGCACAGTCTTATGTACAGCAGGAACCACATAGATTTCTTTGTGTTTTATTGAACAATCTGAAAAATGCATTTCTAGAGCCGTATTGAGACTTTACACAACTGTATTGACCTGCACATGTATTAGATACTAGAGACATACGGGGGGAAAATTAAGAAATTTGTATGATATTTTTACAGTTTGCACTCACAGCAAATCCCAGCACAAGTTTTCACACTTTTATTTTTCTCTCCAGGGAGATTAGATGTAAAAAGCACCCAAACCCAAATACTATGGAGTTTAATAGTTGGTCTAAGCAATCTTAATAAAGCCTTGGGCAATACAGCTTCATTTTGTACCACAGAAAAAGTTTGTTGCACACTCAACCAGTAATTATTTTATCTGACTCATTCAATTGTACATGGAAGAATGCCACAAAAACAAAAACAAGGTATTGTGATACCCTTCCTGTGTATTTCTAGAGAAAAAAGTGGTAGACTGACAGAAAAGGTCTTGGATCCTAGATCTTACCACTGCTTCTAGTTAAACCTTTTAGGTACTTGTACTACTAAGAGACTACGGGTTTGGAATTAAACAGACTGAGAGAGAAATCGTAGCTGTATCTCTTACTAGTTGTCATTTCAGTCAAATTGCAGACACTCCTTAAACCTCAGCACTTTTGCTTGTAGAACTTGAAAAATAACTGCCTCAAAGAGTTGGTATACAATACAGTATGTAAGACATGCTCAGTGTAGTACCTCGCATATTTTAAGAGAGCAGGAAACATTATTTTTCTTTACTTCTTTGGGTTTTGATGTTAACTTGCGTAAAATCAAGAGTTCAAGCTAAATAGTTACTATATGTTCTAAATAAATGCTGTCAAGCCTTTTTCTTTGAAGGCATGAATATTGGGAGTTTCTGGAAACATTTTGAAATGTGTTGCATTTTGATGAGTATATTTTTTTTCTTATTCAAATATTAGATTTTCTTCCCTGGGAGCAGATAAATCTTTATTTTATTCTAATAAAAATCTTTATTTTATTCTAAAATCCAGCAAATGTATTGCCTAGTGAAATAAATATATATTGCTTAAGTTTTATAAAGTTTAAAAATAAACATAATAATGGATTAAACCTATGACTTTCTAATCAAGGCTTAATATCTTTTACATTTAGACTATCAATAGTTTGTGTAAGGGGAAAAATTGCCCAACATCCCATAAATATTCAGTGTTAACAGAAACTTTTCATTTTAATTCATAATTTGAACCATAGTTTAATAATTCCTCATGTTTTATAATCCTTTGTAGTTTACAAGAACCTCTCATGTCATATACATTATGACATTTGACTTCTATAATCAACCTTCGAAGTAGACTCAAAATTTATTGTCAGTTTACTGTTACTATCTCATCTTCATTGACACGATAAGATAAGGGCTCTGACCCAGGTTGTCATGTAAAAACTCCGGGCTTTCTCCACTGGGTTTCTGCCCTTCACAAGTTACACTATGTTGTTCTCCCCTAGTGGAAATGAAGTGTATTTTACTCTTCATGAGCTAATTCTCCAAGAGAGAGTCTTGTCTGCTCTGTGACCAAAAATGTATGAAAATGTCTTCAGGGTCGGTGTCTCAACCTGCATGCAATGGACATTAGGTCACCTCCAAAACGATAATTTTTATGAATAAAGTTGAAAAATGGTAAGTACTTTATGTAATACTTAAATTCAAATTCCCTCCGAGCTTCATTTATTGGCTATTCAGAATAAAAGGTTTGTCTAGTGTTGAATTTATTTATATATAACATAAAGGTTAATATCTGCAAAGATTTGGAAGTATTTTTTTATTTGGTAATGGTGAATTTTCTTGCCAAAGGCTTTCACCTCACAGAAAGTAACATACCAAGCTTTGCCTCCCACAGAGGTCATCATAATTTCTCAAAATGTTGAAAGGGCGCACTGGGCAAGGAAACTGGAGCTTCATAGTCACTCACACACACACACACACACACACACACACACACACACACACACACACACACGCACGCACACATGTTGTTACCATAGTTACAACAGGAAAGGTCATAAAAGACCTACTTTTTCCAATAAGCTCTGAGACAAGCCTTCTGATTTAGGATCACTGGGGTGAATAATCCTAGCAGTATCTCCAGGGTTTTCTTGTGATTGCCCTGAATTTAAACATGTAGCAGACAAGCAGAAGGAGGGATAAATGACTCGTTAATGCTTCATGAAGTTGTTGCTACTGTTCTACCAGTTAATCTTTTCTGCAAGCACCTCCAGAGACTAACGAAGACTTTAACTCATTCACTCTCTTACCAGAAAATTACTGGAATTAACAGCCGTGATTAACTTGAGTTTATGCATGACATTCCACAAAGTGATAAAAGGGACAGAATGCCTCTTGTACTCCCGAATTGCTCAGGCTGGATTAAGATGGGGCCATTACAATCACGGCAGCTGAGGTGCCCTGGGACCGACTCAGAGTGTGTTTTACTTCCCAGATCTGGCTTTTTCAGCATGATGGAATCTAACCATACTTGTCTTCAAAGGTTGGGATATCTTCTACAGCACCCTACCCGAGTGGGTTTGCATTTATTGGTTTGATAATAGCTTCATTGGTGATGCATTTGCTGCAATTTGAGCTAGGGGATTTAATCTTTAAATCATTTCATTATCTGATAGTTAATAATGATAATAACAAACACATTATAAAAATGCCTTGTAATTTCTTTTGATCTTCCCAATGACTCCCTAAGGCAGATACCAATTATCCTCTTTATTTTACAGATAAGAAAGCTAAGGCTTAGAAGAGTGAAGGGACTTCCCCAGTACCACACAGGTAGGAGGGATATGTGTTCCCAAAACCTGAGATAAAGTTAGAAAGCTGTATCTCTCAAGCTCTTCACCGACAGCTGAAATCTATTTCCGTGTCATTTCCATCCATTGGTCTTACTTCTATCTTGAATATCTAAAAACGTCTTAATTCTTCTTTCTCAATTAACTCTTTAAAATTTTGTATTTCACACCACAGGGCATTTTTTTTAGATGTTTGTTCTCTAATTGCTCACTACTCCAGCCAGGAGTGCTTCTCTGTGGGTCCTTAACAAAGGTCTCTAAAGGCCTTCCTAACCTGCCCTTCCCTGCACCCAGAAAAGAAATACTCTTTAAAATATATACCTGGTCACTTCAGACGTTTCTGCTCAACACGCTTCTGTGGCTTCCCTTGTCACTCAGAGTAAAAGTGCAATCCTTATAGTCAACCTTAAGTGTGCCCAATTGTATTAATGAAATTATTGTTCTAAAATTTATGTTTCCCGATGATGATACAGAGCCACAACAATAAAAAGTTCTTTCTCTTAAAAAAAGATTCCAAAGCTCCATGATGCGTCCCCCACTCCTGTGCTCTGTCTCTGCTCACTGGTCCAAGCTTCCCTCATCCTGCTAAACAGCTGCTTGGCCCCCTCCCTGAAGGCCATGACCTGCAATACCAGCCTGGTTCTTTCCGCCTGTTACTACATTTTCTCCCTTCAAAGTCATGAAGCTTTCTCTAACTACTATGTTGAAAACAGAATTGTCTCCCATCATTCATAGGCTCTTCCTTCTTAATTCTCCTCCCTAGTACTTTTCACCATCTCACTTACTTTTTATTGCTTTCTGTTATTTTTCTGCAGCATGCATTCTACCTCTTCAATGCACGAAAGAATGAAAGCTCCACAAGGGCAGAAACTGGATTTTGTTAGGTCCGTTTCAAGGTTGAATAAGAAACTGGCCCATAAAGTGATAATTTCACAGGGCTCACCTACCACACACCCAGTATAAGAAGCAGTCCCTGGTGTATACAGAGCTTTTACACACTTCAGTGACTTCCTAAGAACTTTACCACCAGCAAGTCGTTTTTCTGAAATCATCTATGACTGTAGGACTTCCCAACCCTCTGTGGACCTGAGTACAGGTGGATATGAGAATCAGTATCCAAAACGCTTTTGTCAATTCACTTTATCTAATTTTTAACGGACAGCACAGTGTTATTTTTACAGCACTGACTAGTCATCTCCCAGCTACAGAACAGTCTCAGCTGCAAAGGAAAATGCCCCAGTGGATTGGTAAGATCTGTAAGGATTCAAAATAAGGCTTTCTTTTTTTAAGCTATGTTGAGGCAATGATTTTACACAATCACCACCACAGAATGGCCTACTTACTTTACTATCACTGTGCTTACACAGTGAGCGTTTCTCAGTAAAGAAAACTGAACTAATAATAATGTTCCACTTGAAACATCTCTGTTGACTTGCAGCTTATAATGAGCCTCTAGCTGAAAATCACTGCAGAGACGAACTCTTTCACAGGGCATCATTTCCTACTGGCAGATTTGAGGCAGTGTGTTGGGTTTGCTTTGACAGTGTTTCAGTCAGTGTGTTAAAAAGATGCCAGAAATTCTAATGCTGAGAGACAGACACACCACGATGGAATACATTGTACAACAGGACAAGAAAAACTGGGTTAATTACTACAGGATAGAAACTGTACTCTTTCTTGCTGATCACAAGGTGTAGAAATTGTTGTCAAACCCAAGTCACTGCTTCGATTAACATTTCCAATTATTCACTGTTAATTCGCAGCACTTCTTGAGAAAAGCTGAAGATTTCATTCTCACATATTGAGGGCACAGAGTTTAAATTTCTGAAACAGATGTAAAAAGTCTTTTCTTCCCACTTTAAGAGCCTCTTTAAAAAAAATCACAAATCAGCAATAATTCTCACATACTTTGCAATTTAATATAAAGCATTAGTTTTTTTATACGCACAACAAAACATGGACCTGCAGAAGTTTTCAAGCAATCCTCTAGCAGCTTCATGCGTGTCTTCTGGAGCTCGGGGCTGTCCCACTCATCTTCATCCACTCCCCAGTACAGATCTATGACCTGCGAACAGATAGACGAGGCACCATTAGCTCTCCTTTGGGAAAACTAAATTTACCTGTGGGTTTTATTCTGATTCGCATGTCAAGCCAATGTGCTTTTTAACTTTTCTCTGCAGCATGCTTTTCCTTAGAGAGAGAAAATGAGTTTTAAAACTCAAGTTTCATTCTAGGATCAGTTGAGAATGAACATTGTCATTTCTTATTTCATTGTGGATTATACTGTTCACATGGTCCAGAGAAAAGGAAATGCTAAATGTCAAAGGCTTTGGAGTATTGGCTTTCATTTTACTAAAATGGTAAGAAGAATTTAAGAAAAAGAATGTAGCTGGTATAAGGTTACCACATTATTTGTGGTAATTAAATCACAGTATAAATTATTACTTCATGGCCTACTATGAGAAAGAAAAATGACAATTGGCTTTAACAGTTACTGATTTGAAGTTATGTGTCTTTGAGAAAGAAAAGTAAAAAAAAAATCCCTGCTAAGATCATGCTTTATCTCAGGGGACAGATACTTTTCTCATTTCTGTATTATCTGTAAGCTGTTTGGCTTTCATCAATATATGTCTATTGGGAAAACAGTGAAAAGTGTGCCTTACTGGGAAATAAGAATACTAGGATCCTCCTTCTACTGACTTCAAAGGCTCTTGGGAAGATCCTGCAGGTCTATAAAAACTTACAAACATGCTCTTTGAGAAGTGTCACAGAAAGCAGTATGGGTTTCATTGCCTTTACTCAACTCTTCTCTGCAGAAAGTAAATGTTTCTAACTGAAGCTTTGAAGATTTCTTCTTTTCTTTCCATTTCTCTCACAGGTAGAAACAAGCAGTTCCCCCTCTCACTTCCTGTTTGCCTGTCAAGCCCAGTCCCTAATGTGGTAGGACTTCGTGTCTTCTCTGTCCTTTCCTGGATTTGTGCTTGTGGCACAAATGGAGAGCTAGAGTCACGACATGACTTCTCCCTACCCTCTACTGAACGTCCATAGAGGAGGCATATCTTATGGAGGTCTATCTGGGGAAAGTAAGAGGCGGAGGCCAGTGGGGTATTACAGAGCCCCAGACTTGTTCTGAGGTGGCCACAGGAACCGAAAGCACTCTTCTCATTTGCAGGTTCTCTGTTGGCTGTGTGGAGGTGACAGTGTTGCATGACCTCTTAGCTTCATATTCTTATGAGGCTGCCACCGGAGACCACACGTCACTTCTTTATGATTTAGAAAAGTGCTGCCTTTGATGTAATTTTATTTCCAGCTACCAGGTAACTATGATAAACATGCTCAAGGTCTATAAAAAGGACATTTTTGGCCATTTGCCAATAAAATGTCTCAGTAAACATACAAGTTGACTGTCACATGAACTGTTGTGCCACGCACAGGCTAATCCTACACAGAACCTTGTCTCTGTCTTTCTGACTGATACTGTACAGTTATGCCCTGCACAATGACATTTCAGTGACAGATCACAAGGTGATGATCTCTTACAATGTTATAACCCAGGAACCTTATGGACATCTTAGTTTGTATAAGTATACTCAATAATGATCAAACAACAGCAAATTCACCAAACAACATATTTCTCAGAACATATCTTGTGAAGCAGTGTATGATTACTGATGAATGTCTTGTTAAAACAAGTGAAGAAAAAAAATGTGAATATTAACAACAAAAGCTATAAATAGGTACTTGGTCTCTTCAATTTCACTAAAAACAAACACAAAATTATATAAAGTAATTATGACAGTGTATTATTGGATGTGTAAAATATATAGATGCACACATGTAACTGATAGCACAAAAAAGAGGGGAATATAACTACGTATATAAAGTAATCTTTCTGTAGCTTTCTGGAAATGTTAGTATAAATCATAAGAAGATTCGGATGAATTACAATGTATATACCCTAAAATAACTACTAATAACAAAATAATATGAGAAAAGCATAAGAGGAGTTAAAATATTATACTGCTAAATATTCACTTAATGAATAAATCAAACTCACATGTGTATATACCATATTGTCTCCCTACCATAATAAACTGAGAGAGTAAATAAGATACAAAATCTATAATAAATATGGTGAAAGGATAAGAAACTGCTCAAAGACAAAAAAGATAGGGAAAACAAGAAGGAAAAGAAAAGGAAAAAGTTATAAATTTGTATATATACATTTAATGATTACTAAGATGATTATACTACTAATTCTATTAGGTTTTGGAACAAAATAGTTAACATTCATAGGATTAGATCAATTTTGCATGCCTATATCTGGTAATTCAAGTAACACTTCTGAAGATAACTATGCAAAACAACAAAATTTATTATGTTTCTACCACCTGTTTTGAAAGCTTACATTGTTATTGTTTTGGGTTTCTTGTTATTGTTATTTATTTGCATTTTTTGTTTCTTATTTTTCTTATACCTTGTTTTGTTTTGCTTTTCCCTCTAATACAGAAAGGACAGATGTACATGTATACCTGTATATATGCCTAGAACTTCTCCTAAAGAGTTTATAAGAATTGACTTTATTATGTGTGATGGTATGAACAACTAGACTGAAGAAAATGAGACTTCATGGTAGCCATTACTGATTTCCTATCATCTTGTTTTGAAATCCAATAATGCTTTTATTCTGTGTTTTGATTGGTTTTAGTCTGCTTTCTATTATTTGATTTCAATTTGTGTGAAAGTATGGACAGCTATTTTGAAGAGAACAAGAGACATTATCATAGCCATTATTGGTTTTATAGTGTCTGGTCTTGAAAACCATTAGGGCTCTCATTCTTTTTTTACACTGGTTTTATATTGTTTTGTTTTATATTAATTTATTGTGAGTAAAGATATGGGCAACTATTTTGAAGAAAACAAGAGACACTACGGTAGCCACTGTTGATTTCCTGTTGTCTTGTTTTGAAATCCTGTGTCTCTTGCATTGTTTTGCTTTGGTCTTCTTTGATTTGTTTTGTTTTATTCTCTTTAAAATAAAGAAAATATTCACTTAATGTAAAAACAAAGTAGTAGAGGAGAATAAAAGGAACACAAAAGACATGAGACAAAAAGTAAAATAGCAGATGTAAATCTGACTGTATCAATAATACTATTAAAGGTGAATGGTTTAAATAATGCAGTCAAAGTCAGAGACTGTCGGTCTAGGTAAAAACATGACTCAACTTAATGCTGTCTAATGGAGATTACTTTAAATGTAAATATGTAACTAGGCCAAAAGTGAAAGGATAAAGAAAGACGTATCATGCAAATAGCAACCATAAGAAAGCCAGTGGTAACACAAAGATCAGACAAAACAGCTTATGAAAGATAAATGTAAACTTGACATACAAAGAGATATTGAAACATATAATGGTAATCCAAACAGATCCTACCTATTCGTTGGGACAGTGCCCTGGTAACCTTCTGTCTCTGAGCTCCTTTCCTCTCCTCTCCTCTCCTCTCCTCTCCTCTCCTCTCCCTTCCTCCCTCCCCCTGCCCCCGTCTTCTCATCTTTCTTTCTTTCTCTTTTTCTTTCTTTCTTTCTTTTTCTTCCTCTTTTCTTTTTCTTTTCTCTCTGTCTCTCTCTCTCCTCCTCTCTCTTTATTTCTTTCTCTTCTCTTTCTTTCCATTTTAAGACAGAGTTTGGAGTCACCACGTTGCCCAGGCTAGGCTTGAACTTGCATTTCTCCTGTGTTAGTTTCTCAGTTATTGGATTACAGGCATGTGTCACCATGCTGGGCTTGGGCATCTTTTGTAATAGTTTTTAACCTTTTAAAAAGATTATAGCTATGGTTTCTACTGCCCTTTTTCCAGGCCTTCATAACTGAGTATCTTATTTCAGTGGCTTTGTTTAAATATTCTCTGCCTCCAGATTTTCTTCATTAAATTGTCCTTTCCTTCCATATGTCTTTTTGGGCAGAAAAATGATGCAAAAAGATAAAATCAAGTAACGAGGAAGACAAGAAAGATATAAATGTAACATCAAATATCTACAACAGAAAACATCATTTTGGGTGAACAGATATTCTATATATCCACATCATCAATAAGTGACAAAAAACACTTAGAGCCTAAAGTGCTCAAGATTTATTATATACTTAAAAAATTAAGCTTAGCTTTTAGCCTAATGTCCAGGCACTGAAAACAGTGGAATCTAATTTATTATTCATTGGAATACTAACTTGTTGACAGTACATTTTATGTGCGTTTTCTTATTTTATCATTTAAGTATAAAAGCTCAAGACAGTAATTTGATTTTATCTTTTTTACTTTAAACCATCTCACTTGTTTGAAAACATTCTTGGGGAAGCTCACTTATCATTCTTCTTATTATGCTCTTATTATGTTGAATTGATCTCAAAGCAAAAAACCAGCAAATAAAGCTTTAACAAATATTAGCCCTTGTAATAAGATGTAATCATTTAAATACCAAGATTACATAGTAATAAAGCAACTTGTAGGAAATAAACAAAAAAAGAGTCACTCAAATTTGAATTCATAATAGCGTTTACACCATCATTTCTGTGGAATGAGTCTCTGAACATAATCTCCAAATTGATTTTTTCCAAAAATAGCTCATACTGTAGTACACCACTGAATACTAAACAAAATTTAAAAAGTTTTTTTGCTGTGCAATTCAAACTGGGTAAAAACAAGTGTATGTATATGTATGCACAACAAAGTATATGTATTTGAGGCTTTAGGCTGTATGTATGTATATGTGTATGTATGCATATGTACTTGAGGCATTAGGTTTATAACAAAGTGTGTATATATATATATATAATGTGTGTGTGTGTGTGTGTGTGTGTGTGTGTGTGTGTGTGTGGGGCCTTAGGCTGGCTTCAAACTCAAGGTGATGCTCCTGCCTCAGCCTTTCAAATGTTGGTATTACATCACTACGACACACGGAAACTGATGTATATATTTTGAAACAAATCCAGTACTGACAGGGAGGTTCTTCTAAGTTACTATGATGAGAGGTTCTATAATGATTCCATTGGCTCTGCCATTGCTTCCCCC